AATTTTAAGGTCTACAACATGATTTGATGCATGCATATATTTTGTGCAATTATTATTACAGTAAGGTTAGTCAATACCTCCATCCCCTCACATAATTACCTTTGTGTGTGTGTGTGTGTGGTGATAATTTTTAAGATCTACATTATTAATAGCTTTCAAGTATATAATAGGTATTGTTAATTAGAATCCCCATGCTGTACATTAGATCCCCAGAACTTAGTCATCCTGCAGTTAGAAGTTTGTACACTTTGACCACCTTCACGCATTTTCCCCAGCCCCTGGTCCTGGCAACCACCATTCTCTCTCTCTTTCTTTGAGTTTGGCTTTTTTAGACCCCCACATGAGTGAGAACCTCCAGTCTTTTTCTCTGTCTGACTTACGTCATTTGGTATACTGCCCTCCAGGCCCACCCATACCGTCGCAAAAGGCAGAATTTCCTCCTTTTTTATGGTCGGATAACAGTGTACATGTGTACCACATTTTCTCTATCCATTCATCTGTTCAAAGACACAAGGTTGTTTCCATGTCTCGGCTATGGTAAATAATGCAGTGAACACGGGAACACAGGTATCTCTTGAAGGTAGTGATTCCATTTCTTTTGGATCAATACCCAGAAGTGTTATGGCTGGATCACATGGTAGTTCTATTTTTAATTTTTTGAGGAACGTCCAGACTGTTTTCCATTGTAGCTGCTCCAATTTCCATTCCCACCAACAGCACACAAGTGTCCCCCTTTTTCACAGCCTTGCCAACACTTTGATCTCTTATCTTTTTTCTTTAGTAGTCTCCATGCCCAGCATTGAGCCCAAGATGGGACCAAACTCACAACCCTGTATCTCTTGTCTTTTTGACACTAGCCATTCTAACAGATGAGAGATGGTAGCTCTTTGTGGTTTTGATTTGCATTTCCCTGATGATGAGTGCTGTTGAGCACCTTTTCATGAACCTATTGGCCACTTGTATGTCTTCAAAATATTATTCAAGTTCTTTGTCCATTTTTTAATCGAATTCTTTGTAAAATCTTTTACTCTTTGAAACAGTGCACTTGAAGTCTGTTTCTTGGGTTTCTCTCTGATTGCTATAATAATAAAATATATATTTCACAAAAAGAGCTCAGAACCAAAATCTACCTATACACTGTTTACAAGATGCACACTTAAAGTGATGCAGAACAATAATAAAATGGAAAAATAAAGAGAGATATGGATCACAGGTGAAGTCAGATCTAACATAAAAACATTAATTGAGGCGAAGATGCTGGATTTTTTTATTAAGAAGGAGAAGCCATCATGAAAATATAGCATTCTGGAACATTTATAGGAATGAATAATGTCACATCAATATATGTGAGGAAACCTGTTTAAATTCTATAGAGAAACGGGAACACAGGAGCATGGGAGCTGCTTTAACTCATTTTTCTTGAGATCTCACAGCTGAAGTAGTCAAAACAGTTTATTGAATAGACACAGAGAGAAATGTGTATATTACAGCATAAACATGATTTCAGATGCACAGGAACATTTTACCAAAAATGATCATACCCTAAGCCATAATGAAAACCCCAATACCAAAAAGATAAAATTCTAGGAATCAGGTTTTCTGACCATGATAACAAAAGGATACGTTAAATAAAGACTCTTCTCCAAATAACTTTAGGTTAAAAAAATAAAATCTCCAGTTGTAGAATATTTATAAAAATATTTATATGATGCAGTTAAAATGCTCCCCATGGGGGAAAAAAATCATAGCTATAGAGCAAGGGTTCTCAACTTCAGCGCAATTGTCATTTTGGGATACATAATACTTTGGGGGGGGTGTGTGTGTGTGTAGGGGGCATTCTACAGCCTGTAGGACATTCAGCAGCATCCCTGACCTCTATCCACTAGATGTTAGTAGTGTGTGTGTGTGTGTGTGTGTGTGTGTGTGTGTGTGTGTGTGTGTAGGGGGCATTCTACAGCCTGTAGGTCATTCAGCAACATCCCTGGCCTCTACCCACTAGATGCTAGTAGTGTGTGTGTGTGTGTGTGTGTGTGTAGGGGGCATTCTACAGCCTGTAGGACATTCAGCAGCATCCCTGACCTCTATCCACTAGATGCTAGTAGTGTGTGTGTCTGTGTGTGTGTGTGTGTGTGTGTGTGTGTAGGGGGCATTCTACAGTCTGTAGGACATTCAGCAGCATCCCTGACCTCTATCCACTAGATGCTAGTAGTGTGTGTGTGTGTGTGTGTGTGTAGGGGGCATTCTACAGCCTGTAGGACATTCAGCAGCATCCCTGGCCTCTACCCACTAGATGCTAGTAGCACACCTCCACACACACACCAGTGTGAAAGCCACAAACATCTCTAGACATGGCCAGGTTCCTCGGCAAATGGTCCCTGTTTGAACCTCTGCCCTAGATACGAATATTATTAGAAAAGAAAATGTGAAAGTATAAATAAATTTTTTAATTTGAAAGCTACATAAAAAGCCACTGATGGGGCGCCTGGGTGGCTCAGTTGGTTAAGCAACTGCCTTCGGCTCAGGTCATGATCCTGGAGTCCCAGGATTGAGTCCCGCATCGGGCTCCCTGCTGCTCAGCAGGGAGTCTGCTTCGCCCTCTGACCCTCCCCCCTCTCATGTGCTCTCTCTCTCTCATTCTCTCTCTCTCAAATAAATAAATAAAATCTTTAAAAAAAAAAAAAGCCACTGATGATACCTGAGGTCAACATTCATAGAAAAGCAAAATTTAATTCCTAGAAAACTTGTCAAATTGTTTTTTTTTTAAATATAAGAACTGGTTCTTTGGGTAGATAGTTAAAACATATAAACCTTTGAGAAGGAAAGTTTTCAAAAACAACAGGCACTCACAGTATTGCAATTGGAAATTTAACTACATAAAGCATAGAGCAGGTTAAAAATATGATAATATTATCCTAGGTATATGCTATTAGTGCTAAAATCTGGATGAAATAGTTTAAAAAGTATGTATTTATGTAACTAACTTAAATATGTAACTCAAGAAAGTATGGGACCCAAAGTAGCCATGGAAAATATTATGAAAATCAGTCTTTCAAAAAGCACATAACACAAATGACAGCATTTGCCAAAGATCACCCCCCTCCAAGAAATGGAAGTGAAGAGAAACCTATAAAAGAAAGTTCCTCAGAACTGAGGACACACCAGACAAATTCAAACAAATACATATCCAGGCAAGGATGGCGATGTTCAGATCAGACTCCGCTGAATTGAAGGCAAAAGGAAGGCGCTTTATAATTATATTAACATTTAATCCATAATGAAGGCGTAATTGGAGTTTTCCTTTTGCAATAAAAAACAACATCAAAGTCCCCAAACAAAACACTTTAAGTGTTGAAGGAAGATTGTGATGGAAGCAGAAAAGTTGCAGGCAACTTAGACGTGCCAAAAAAGTAAGGAAGGAATCAAAATCATACCACGAGGCCACTAATGGAGCAGGTTAATCTGCACACAAGCTCACCCTGTTCCTGAGGCCTGTGGAGCAGATACAAAGTATAAACATATTTCGGTCCCAAAGGAAACCTTACCACAGTCTCAAAAGTACAAGTGGTACAGATGATGTCCTTTGATCACTTGTGTTACTAGAAATTAGTAGCAAAGGGAAAAGAAACAAACAAAAAATGAACCTCTTACAAATTTCAAAACTTTCTTTTTCCAAAACGTTTTTTAAACAACTCTTGCATGAAAGAAAATAAAAACTGAAATAGAAAATAAATACACAGAAGAGAACACTAATGAAAATCTTTCATGGTGAAGTCTGTGAGAAATGTCAAAGTCATGCCCAGAGGCAACTTCGTGGCATTAGACATATTTCTAAACGTAGAGAATGAAAAGAATGAATTAGAAACATGACCAAAATCGGGGTGGGGGGGCAGAAACAACAGTCACCCATCTTTTAGAATCAGAGGACGTAATTAATAAAGATACAGAAGATTAGATATTAAGGAATCAGAAAACGGAGAAGAAGTGATAAACAAATTTGAAATTTGATTCTTTTGAGGAGGAAAAAACCTCCCACATAATAAAATGGGAAAATCCATGAGCTTGCCTAATGAAGAAAACGTGCGAGGAAAACACAGCTACTCGGCGTCAGAAATAACAAAGGGAAAATAAACACAGGTGCCAAGGCAATAAAAATAATTACAAGAGTATGCAGACTGGTATGCCTCACTCCACAGTGTGTGTGTGTGTGTGTGTGTATATTTAAAATATTTAGGTGAAAAGGACACACTGTTCCACATAGGTGTTTAGTGTGAGCACTGCTTGTATGTAAAAATCAGGAGCTTTCTTATATTCCCAAAATAACCAGTTAGAAATATCATAGGGAAGATTTAACACGAAAATTACTGACTTAGAGGAAGAGAAGTACATAGCTTTATTAAGAGATTTATTTATTCCATGTATTTTACAAACCCTTACACAATATATGGCTTACTAGGTGCCAGGCACATTTCATCCTAACCAACCCTTGAAGGTAGGTTTAATTATTATCTGAATTTTTCCGATGAAGAAACTGGGGCACGGAGAGGTTAAGTAACTTAGCCAGAGTCACCCAACTTGTAAGTAGCTGGACCAGGCTTCAAAATGCAGTCCGCTTTGAGCCTCTGCGCTCTTTGCTGTTGGCCCGCACAGTGAATAAATGAAGAGACACACATGTTCCAGGAGGGAGGATTTGATGTCACAAAACGATCAATTCGCTGCTGGCCTTAAGCTCTCTAGCAAGGGTTGAGCTGCTGACCGGCTGTCCAGGGTGACTCTCAACAGAAGGCAAACTGTCAAGGAGCTGTAGGCCGCCCCCAGGTGCCCCAGTCTCGCAGGGGTCAGAGTAGAAGGGCCACACTCACCCGGGCCTGGGAAAGTGCAGCTCACGTGGAGCTGGCCACCCTTCTCCTCGGCACGTCCCTCCTCTGAGTCCCACCGTGTGTGGACGTGATGGTGGCGGGCAGGTCCTCTCTAACTCACCATGCCCCATTCTCCTCTCTCAGATCCAGGAGATGGTGCACTCGGAGGTTGCCGCCTACGACTCGGGCCGGCCAGGGCCCCTGCTGGGCCGCCCAGCGATGCTGGCCAGCCACATGAGCGCCCTCAGCCAGTCCCAGCTCATCTCTCAGATGGGCATCCGGAGTGGCATCGCCCACAGCTCCCCGTCCCCCCCAGGGAGCAAGTCAGCCACGCCCTCCCCCTCCAGTTCAACTCAGGAGGAGGAATCAGAAGCGCATCTCAAGGTAGGTAGGGCGGCTACGCAGGGCCCTAAGATGCCCTCCCGTCAGCAGGTGCGTGGGCCCTGCGTGGCAACGGGCATCCCCCGCCTTGAGGCCAGACCCCAAGAGTGCAGCTGTGTCCTTTGCTGGAGGACACAGAGGAAGGAAATCAGCAGGTAGAACAGGGCCCACCGGCCGGAGCCCCTGGGCAGTGGAGAAGGCCCTGCTTGGGATTTGGGATTTCTGGCTGCAGCCGCTAAGTTAGCAGAGCATCCTTGCCAAGCTGTGTCTGTCCACTCCCACGGCCTTGTGTATAAAGCGGAGATGACACTCACCCACGGCCAGGGGCTGGATGAGAGAATCCTGTGAAAACATGAAGTCTTATTCCTCGGTGGCCAGTGGGTCATTTCAGTGACATTGATGGCATCGGCAAGATCCTCAGGGTCACGTCTTATGGTCACTTTGGCCTTTTAAGAGAAGATACTCTGACAAAGCTGTGCGGCCCAGCAGAGGACACCTGGGCAGCACCGAAACTGACCCCTCCCCTGGCTGGGTACATGCCCCCCCCCCAGCATCCCTAGAGTCATGGGTGATCCTGCCTCTGAAGAACACGTCAGGGCTGAGAGGTCACCAGCTGTCCAGGCTTGTCCTTCTTTCGCACTGACAACTCTCCCTGGCTCCGGAAGGCACCGTGTTTTACTGGGGCAGAAAACAGAGGCCGGAGAGCCCAGGGACAGCCTCGCTCACAGCGACCCTCCCAATGAGCCTGTGGCAGAATCTAAACTTGATCCCCCAACTCCCACCTCCCCTTCTGCTTCCTCAGGGCTCTCACCCCTTTCCATGCGGTGGCCCTGCAGATGCCAGGGGGGCAATTTGGACCTGGCAGGGGCCCTGACTGACTGGGCTGGGTGGGTGCCTCTGGGTCTGGTCCGGCTGCATCCGCAGGACAACTCGGTCTCTACAGTAGGCCAAGCAGGAGTGGTTTTTATTTTCTTTTTCATTTAGTAGACACTGTTGGGGCCAAATACTGTTCTAAGCACATCACCAGCATTAACCCATGGGATCCTCATGACGGCCCTGTGTGGGCAGGGCCATTGTCCTCTCCGATTGACAGATGGGAAAACCAAGGCCCCAGAGAGGTTACGTCAGTCTGGCTGCAGAGAGAGGCAGGAACAGGTGCAGCATGGCTACCGGCTTCCCCTCACTGTCCCTTAGACATGGAGGCCTGAATCTTGCCCAGGGGCCCACGAATTCCCTATCAATTCCTGGTGTCACCCTCATCTGCTTGGTGCAGAAACTGACCATCTTCACTGTAGGATCCAGGACCTTTGACCAAATTCCTGGTCCCCGTGGGGCCTGAGGGTCCTACTGGTGACCCACTGAGGTCTGTGGCAAGCATCCCTACATGGTTCCCATCCCGCAAGCCCTGAGTTGCACACTCACAGGATTGTGGTCCTGCTTCCAAGGCCAGGTGTCCCGAGTGAGGCCACACCCACCGAGTCACATAACCTCTTTCCCGTCCAGTCATTTCACAGGGCCCCGGGCACCAAGCCCCCTGCCCCAATTCGCACACCTGGAAGTTGGTGGAAGACACCGATCTTCTGTGACTAAGGATCATCTTTGGGGATTATTTGTGATCACAAGAAGGGAGAATGGTTAAGAAAAATTGATATCTTCAAAACTCGGAAATAGGGCCGTGCACAGGGCTGTTGGCCAGCCACAACTGCACGCTGTCTGCAGGCTTGCGCGGGAGTCCCCAGATTCTCTAGGAGAACGTACCGTTGTCGGGATTCATTACTCATGACCCATTCCGGGGATTCTACACTCTGTAAAGGTACATATTACCTTGGGAAAGAAGCGGCGGAGAAGTAAACAATTTTTGTCTGATTAAAAGGCAAATTAAGTTCTCCCTGTAGAGATGCCAATGACCTCTGCCCGGGAGAAAAGATTAAAAGCCCCAAAGGTGATCGTTTCATTGCTCTGTAGGGCAGTTTCTCTCATATTTCTTTGAGTCAACTTTGCCACCTTGCTGATTTTCATTCATGAGTTAAACAAAAACTCCAGGGTTCCTAGCTCCTACCCAGCACGTGTGCGTGTGTGCTTGTGAGCGTGTGTGTGCATGTGAGCGCGTGCGTGTGTGCTTGTGAGCGTGTGTGTGCATGTGAGCGCGCATGTGTATGTGCTTCTGAGCGCGCGCACGTGTGTGCGCATGTGAGCGCACATGTGTGTGTGCTTGTGAGCGCGCGCACGTGTGTGTGCTTGTGAGCGCGCGTGCATGCGTGCGTGTGTGTGTGTGTGTATGTCTTTTGCCTCCCTCACCAGGGAGCGGTGAGCATGACAGTGTGGCCCATGCGGCCCGCGCTGGAGTCCAGGGTGGCCCGTGCACAGAGCCGGACAGACAGGTGGTGGGGCTGCTGAGGAAGATCCCCTGCGCCTCAGGCAGGGGTGGGGAGCCCATAGGGGGAGGCCCTTGGCATCTCTGCTTTCCTGACTCCTCTCACCTGTGCAGATGTCAGGAGAGAAGAGACCTTCAACTGACCCAGGAAAAAAGACCAAGAACCCAAAGAAGAAGAAGAAGAAGGACCCCAACGAGCCACAGAAGCCTGTGTCAGCCTATGCACTCTTCTTCAGAGACACTCAGGCTGCCATCAAAGGCCAGAACCCCAGTGCCACCTTCGGGGATGTGTCCAAAATCGTGGCCTCCATGTGGGACAGCTTGGGAGAGGAGCAGAAGCAGGTGAGTCTGGCCCTTCCAGGGCCCTCCCCCGGGGCGTTGAGGCCCTGGAGCCAATGACAGACTTGGAATGTCCGAAATCAGGAACATCCTCCTGCAGGGGGGTCTCTCCTGGACTCAGTTTGCTCATCTGTAAGCTGGGAGGCTAGAGCCCTTCCAGGTCCCCTCTTTGCCAGCAGAGTTCACTAGCGGCTTAACCGTTCTGATTCCTGCTTCCTCTTCTGTTAAGCAAGAATAAGCATCTCTGTCTGTCTTGTCCGTCCAGCCGTGCCAGCCTGGAGTCCAGGCTTCCTCTCCCACTGACCGTGTGCCCCTGGGCCCTCTCAAGGGCGTCCAGGGAGAACAGGGAGCAGAACCAGCTCAGAGGCAAATGCTAGCTACCGGCGGCGGGACCTCTGGCCGATCGCCTGACCTCTCCCCAATGTTGCCCATGTCTTGGATCTTTCAGGCCTACAAGAGAAAGACCGAAGCGGCAAAGAAGGAGTATCTGAAGGCTCTGGCGGCCTACAGGGCTAGCCTCGTCTCCAAGGTAACACCCTGGCCCGTTGGCACAGCCCTGATAAGGGGGCTGCTGAGGCCCACGGGAATGGTCAGCGCCCTAGTTCCTGGAAAGGATGAATAAGCTCAGTGGCGTCACTTCTCTCGGCACGCTCATGCCGGCACTTTACGTGCATTTCGTTTCACTTCATTCTTCCAGCGAGACCCCGGCATTCAGTAGGGTTGAGCAGCGGGCCTGAAATCCAGAGGAGTGTAGGTGCATTGTCTGGAAGCTGTCACAGAGCACAAGGCATGTGGGTCAGGCCGCAAAGGGCCAAGCAGGGAGGGCGTTCCAAGTTGAGGGAACAGCACGGGCAAAGGCATGCTGGAGCATGGAGGATGGAGGATGGCCCGGCTGGATGAGGCCAGCCTCACAGGCCAGGCTGAGGAGGCTGGGCTTCCTCACAGGCAGGGGTGCCCCAAGAATTAACGCAGGGGGTGGTCGGATGGTCAGAGCCAAGTGCACCGAGGCCCTGGGATTACCTCTGGTTAGCCCGTAGCTCCCCGCCAAGGGGCCAGAGAGCCGGCCACGGACCATGTCAGCGGGTTGCAGACCCAGCGGGTCTCACGGCCCAAGTTCTGGCTTCTCCGTCTTCTCCAGAGTGACCGGTGTCTGTCTCCTTGCAGAGCTCTCCAGAGCAGGGTGAGACCAAGGGCACTCAGGCGAACCCGCCGGCCAAAATGCTGCCACCCAAGCAGCCCATGTATGCCATGCCGGGCCTGGCCTCCTTCCTGACGCCGTCGGACCTGCAGGCCTTCCGCAGCGGGGCCTCTCCGGCCAGCCTGGCCCGGACGCTGGGCTCCAAGTCCCTGCTCCCGGGCCTCAGCGCGTCCCCGCCGCCGCCACCCTCCTTCCCGCTCAGCCCCCCACTGCACCAGCAGCTGCCCCTGCCACCCCACGCCCAGGGCGCCCTCCTCAGTCCACCTGTCAGCATGTCTCCAGGCCCCCAGGCTCCGGTCCTGCCCACTCCCATGGCACTGCAGGTGCAACTGGCTATGAGCCCCTCACCTCCAGGGCCTCAGGTAAGCAGTGCCCAGTGGGAACGTGCTCTTCAGGACCCTGGGTGGGGAAGGCAGGCAGCTTGGGGTTTCGGATACCAGCCCGGGCCCTCACCGGCAGCACCACCTCAGTGCCTTACCTCTCTGAGCCTCAGTCACCACATCCGTGAAATGGGTCTAGTACACCTTCCCTGAGGTGTACTGGCTGCAGCGAACAGTTGACAAGTTCCCAGACAGTCTTCAGAGTCTTAGGATACCCCAGGCCCTCCCTCTCCTATCCTCCGTCCAGTTCTGCTCTCTGGCCCGAGGCGCTGAGGCCATGCAGCTTCTGCCGGATCAGCCCCGGCCCCCGGCTCTCCCCAAAGCTTTGGAGGCCCGACCCACTGAACATTCCACAGACTCACGTGGCTCAGCACAACAACTCCATTTTGCAGACTGGGAAACTGAGGCCAGGAAAAGAAAGATCCTGAAAGCAGAGCCCTCCACCCCCCAGATGCAGCTAGGAGAAGGGTTGAGTTTTCCAAAAGGTGCTCTGCAGGGAAAAGGAAGAAGCATTCCAGGCAGAGAGGCAGAGGGGAGGCTTTATAGAAGCCAGAGGAAGTGTCCCTATGAACTCCCGCGGACACGGAGAGTTCCTGCCCCCCGCTTGCGGCCTGCGCTGTGCACCCCATCATCTCTGCCTTGCTCACCCGCCTCCTTCCCCCTTGGCAGGACTTTCCTCACATCTCCGAGTTCCCCAGTGGTTCAGGACCCCGCTCACCTGGCCCGTCCAACCCACCGAGCAGCAGCGGGGACTGGGACAGCAGTTACCCCAGCGCGGAGTGTGGCGTCAGCACGTGCAGGTGGGTCCTCCCCCCCACCTCCGCTGATGCCGCCCGAGCCAAAGAGGGGGCACGGGCCACCCAGGGGTGGGGGGAGGCGAGGCCCTGTGGGTCACGGTGGCCCCGCGACCGTGCCTCATGGGGGCTGGCTGCCCGCCGTCTTCACGAGAAGATGCAGAACAAAGCAAGACCCCAGAAGGACTCGGCCGGTCTGATGCCAGGGCTCTGCTTGGGAAAAGGGCCCAGCTTCAGTCTGGCTGTATCTCTTGCCGTCCTGGTTTTCTCACAAGGGCCGCCTTGTGACACTCATGGATGGGTCCTTTGTCTTCCGTCGGGTTCCCTAGAAGTGGAGGCTGGGCAGCAGGATTTGGGCGCCCTTGATGATGTGGAGGAAGGGCTTGCAGGAGAAAGGGAGGGAGGGAGGGAGGTGGGACAGGGCGAGGGAAGGAGCTAGGGGTGGGGGGGAGGGGGGGAGGGTTGCTCAGCCAGAGACTCGCTTCAGCCTGATTCCACCAGAGCTTGGTGCCCATGCACCGCCGACTGCGTCCCGCCTTGAGGTTAGGGCTTTTTGCTCCCCAGCTCAGTCAGCCACTGGCTGTGGGCTGCCCCCGGGGAGTGTGGCCCCTGGAGGAGGCAGCTCTCATCCAGCCCAGGGCAGCTCTCTGGAGCAGAGGCTGCTGGGAGGGCAGGAAAGGGGACCTGGGGGAGGCACCTGCGGCATCCACCGCACCCTCGGCGAAGGGCCAACGAGCCGACACCAGGAGCCACACACCTTACTGGGACCCCCACTGCTACAGCCCAGCACCCCCTGACACGCCAACCCCCAGGCCACTTGGCTTCTCCGTGGTCCTTATGTGGACCTCAGCCTCCGGGCCTCCCCTCCCACCGTGCCCTCTTAGCCTCTTAGCCTTTCAGTGACACGCTGGCGGCCCTTCCTCTCGAAGGTCTTCCTGCTCCAAAAGTCACTGACCTTTCATTTCAGCAGCTGAAGAGGGAAATGGGGCAGAGAGGGCACCCAGTTCCTTTCCCCGCCCATCCTGACTCCCATTCTCCTGGCAAGGACCAATCCCATGGCCACCCCGGGGTCTGTAGCCCCAGCAGCGGCTCCACAGCCTGGAAGGCATGACGTGTGGGGGACAGGCAGCTTCGGCTGCCCCTAGCCCCGGCCGTTGGCCTTTCTGCCCCTCACCAGCCAGACCGCCAGTGAGCCAGCAGACACGGCATGTGGCCCACGGCTGACGGCCGGTGCCTGGTGCCCGGTGGGAGTCTACCTGCGCGGGTGGACTCGGCTCAGCCGGAATCCCCTTCCCCAGTCCCCCGCAGGTGCAGACCCTCCCACCCCACCCTCCTGCCGCAGACTCCCTTCCCAGTCAGAGTGTGGGGCTGGGGGCTCTTTAATGGACATTATGGAACGTGTCCGAGCTTCCCCCCAACACGGAGGGCAGACCACTGCAGTGCCCTGCTTTACTTAATTTTTTTTTTAAACGAGGGAGAACTGGCGTATTAGTTGCAGGTGTACGGCATACGCTCTGCAGTAGGCTGGTGTGTGCTGGGGACTGATCACCGCCTGAGTCTAGGCAACATCTGTGGCCGCTCGCTTACAGACGGTTTCCTTGTCCCGTGATAACTTGTAAGAGCTACTCTCTTAGCAACTTTCAAATACAGAAACTTACAAAAATGCAGTATGATTAACTGTAGTCCCAACGCTGCACATGGCATCCCTGAGGCTTATTCATCTTCTCCTTGGAAGTTTATACTTTTGACCCTTCCCCCATTTTACCCATCCCCCGACCCCCCCGGCAGCAGCATTCTGTTCTCTGGCTCTGTCAGCTTGGTTTGGGGTTTGCGTAGGTCCCACACGTAAGTGAGATCACCCGATGCTCTCGCTACTCGTCTTCCTCGGACTTACTTCACTTGGCATGGTGGCCTCAAGGTCCCCGTGGCTCTCGATGAGGGAGCGCCCTATTTTAAAAACACAAAAGGCGCCTACCTTCCTCTGGTTCTGTGTGAAGTTTGCAAATGACTAAGCTCGGACCGGGACCCGAGAGCCAGGCGGTGTTGGGACCACCTTCCCGCAGCGCGGAGGCCTGGGGATCACCCGGGGTGATTCCAGGAGGGGATTCCAGGAGGGGAGCTGGGCTGGTGGCTTATGGCCCGTCCGTCGGCGAGGGACCCGCGCACCCGCTCAGAGGGGCGGCGGGCGCCTCTGGGCTGGGGCTGAAGGGGGCACCTCCAGGGTGGGGCTGAGGCTAGTGAGCAGGTGGCCTGGCGCCGCCCCCAGGCCCGGCTGGGCTCCCAAGGCTCTGACAGCCCTCCTCTCTCCCCAGCCTGCTCCCCAGGGATAAGTCGCTCTACCTCACCTAATCCCGCCTCCCCTGTCCTCCCTGAGGCTTGCTGGAGGGGCACTGCTCAGAGCCTGAAAGGCCCACAGCAGGAGGGAAGCCCGGGCAGGAAGCAGGATGACCGGGAAAAGAGCAGTGACACCACGACGACGCCCCAGGGCCGAGTCTCCTCCTTGACCTCCCAGCAGACCCTGCACAGGCGGCCCGCCCACAGCACCCGCGGGAACCTCCTGCCCCCCCCGACCTGCCTGCTCCAGGGCTACTGCGGACCCCGCCCCTCGCCCTGCACTCCGTGCTCCGTGTCTGGACGTCCGGCCCCAGCCCACTCTCCGGGGGCTCCCCCGCCCAGAGGGGCCGCCTTCTGACCGAAACTACCCCAGAGCCATGGGCCCGGCCGCCCGGCCGAGGACGTGCAAATGCAGCTTCACCGAGTGAACACAGATCACCAAACCTCTAAACTGTTGGCTCATGTAAGTAGTTGCCTAAGTGTTTTAGAACCGTGCTGAAGACGTCGTCGATAAGATGATTTTGTGGGGGAGGGGAGTAGTTTCCTTTAAGGTGACGAGCATTTTATATGACCCCTTAGCACATATTTTTTTTTTTAAGTTTTTTCTTGGGGATGAGCACAAAAGCGGCTGCCAAACTGTGTCCGCCCCTGTAACAGGGAGAGCGGGACCACTTAGAGCCACACTTGGAGACGTTGCGCTTTTTTTTCTGGTTTTTAACCCCGTGTCCGTCTATTTAAAATTGCCAACAATGACTTTTGTCTATTTATGAAGCAAAGTTGAGAAGAGAAATGCAGTGTATCATAACGTGTGTGTGATTTTTGGGTTTGGTTTGGGTTTTGGTTCTTAACGTCGTTTGCAGCAGTTTCCTGGCCCTGGCAAGTGTCCGTCCTGGTGCCCAGTGCTTCTCTCAGTTTCTTTATAATAAAACTTCTGAAAAGTTGAAAATCCGTCTGTCTCTTCGTGCCCTTGGCAAGCCGGAGCCAGGCCTTCGGACTAGGCGTTTGGTGGCAGCTCCGTGGGCTGACAGAGCCCTTCATGTCAGTGGGCTTGGGGTCCAGGCTCACCTGCCGTGTACTCTCCCCGATGATCTGCGCGGACGGCAGGGCCTCCCCGGCCTGTGTTGTCACCTCCGGAAGTAGGAGGACGGTGGCGCCAACACGCGCCAGTCTGGTGATGAGCAGGGGTTATGGGCACAGAGCGCTGGCTGTGCAGGGGGCAGGCTCCCCGTCTGGTGGAGGCGAGAGGTGGGTTCAGGGAGCCTGAGGCGGGGGGGCGGGGGGCTTCTCCAAACCTGAATGTAAGGGGCAGCCCAGACAAGGGACTCTAACCCAGGTTTCCTGACAGATGTTAGGTGGTGATACTTACAAAAAAAAAAATATAATAAATAATTATGTGACAACTTTAACTGCATCTGGAAAAATAACAGTTCTTGGTATGGAGGAGCTTTTGGGAGCTGCCCCTCCTGGGCCTCGTTACATGGCTGCTTTGGGGTGGGGACCAGTGACCCAGAAGGAGAAGCCTCCCCCTCCCCTGTCCACTCTCAGGGCCTCTCCCTCTGTGATCCCGAAACCTCCCTTCTCCCAGAAAACAGCCCCAGGGCTGGCGCACCATCTCTCTGAGAGCAGTTTCCTCACTGGAGGGCATTTTGTAATCCACTTTGGAAAAGAAAAAAAGAAAACCAGACCAACAACAAAAACAACATGCTGCCCACAACATCATTGCTATGTGAAGCATAAATATTTCATGTGGTTACAATTTCCTTTCCTGCTCAGAGCTTGTCAGTAACACAGTGATGACTTAGTTTAATATTCGACTCCTGCTTCGACATGTGAGAAAACAGCATCCTTGGGATCCATGCAGACAACCCAAAATAATGAACGCCAGGCTATCAGGTTCTCGCCTTGGAGCAGAGCCCCCCACCCCGGCCCCCCACTGCTGCGCCGGCCTCTGGAGGCGTCTGCGTGCCGAGGCTGGCCTCTCGGTGGCAAGGGGGTCTCCGAGATGCCCAAGCGGAGTCTAAATACCCTGCCTGCAGGTGTCGGGGGTTGTGGCACCCCCAAGCTGCCAAGGCCAGTCTGTGCTCCCCAGACCCGCCACACTTCAAGGCCACGTGTTGTTGCTTAGACCCTAGAGCCGTGCCCCTGACACTGTAAGGATCGGCAGCCCCTGCAGCCCACCCCACTGTCCACGGAGCCAGCCCTTCCCAGGCCCACGCACCTGCTTCGGATCCCTCCACCCCGCACCTTCTCCCACAAACACCCTGGAACCTCAGCAGAGGCACGGCCTGAGCAAAGGCCGAGGCTCCGGGCCCGGAAGGGGTGGCTGGTCCCAAGATTGTCCAACACTAATTGCTCCCCGGAGGGCCCACAGGAGGTTCCACATTCGATTGGAAGATGGGCAACACGGCACGGAGGGGCCTTCCGTTACTCTTAAGAGTCCACCGTGCTGAAATTCCATGTGTTCATCCAGCAAGACTACAAACGGGTGAGCAGTTACTCTCTGCCCCAGCCGAGCACCGGGGATGCTGGGGGAGTCTTACAAAGATCCCACCCCTAGGAGTTTAAGGGCTAGCTGGGGAGGCAGAGAAGGAAAATGGTGATATTGAGTTATAAAATTATAACTTTATATTATAAATCATAAAAATCTAAAATTAACTACACTTTGTGCCAAGTCCGAAAGGGGGAGGGGCCAGGAGAATACAGTAGAGGGGCCCCCAGCCTAACCAGGGGCCACAAAGTCTTCCGGGGTGAGGCGATGTTGGGACTGTGCCCCGTCCAGTGACCGGGAGTGAGCTGGAGGACTGACCTGGGGTTCTAGGATGCCCTGCTTTTCTGATTCGGGACCCCCAGATGCTGTGGCTCTGTGATTGTGATTCTCATCCAGAATTTTGGGAGAATTCTCTCTGGAAGAAGCTGCGGCTGGGTCCAAACAGCATGCGTGGGGATCTCTAAGTCAGGAACAGGGACAGTTACCCTCAGGTTGAAGGTGAGCCGCATGGCAGTGCGTGTTCTCAAACCCTTGACCTCGGCATCCACGTCCTGGGTCAGGGCCAGCCCAGGCTCCCTGTGCGCTGGGGGTGGTTGAGGGTGGCGTGTGTCTGGGTTTACCGTGTGGTGCGAGTGTGGGTGTACTGTGCGGTGTGCCAGTGGGTCATGTGCCCGTGTGTACCGTGTGTGTGCGGTGGGTGAGGTGTGCACGTGGTGTGTTTGCACCTGCACTTGTGTGCATGCATGCGTGTGCTGTGCACCTGTGTCTGCAGCGTGCGTGTCTGTGCGTGGTTTGCGTGGTGCATGTAAGATAAATATTATGTGCATGTGACGTGTCTGTGTAGCTGGTGTGCATGTGGGGGAGGTGATTCAGGTAAAATGAGGCCATTGGGGTGGGTCTTCATCCAACTGGACTGGTGTCCTTACAACAAGAAGAAATTTGGTCACGCCGGCGGGGGGGGGGGGACACGAAGAGCTCTTGTGCACAGAGGAGAGACCACATGAGGACACAAGGTAAGGCAGCCGTGGGCAACCCCAACCCTAACCCAGCCGACGCTTTGATCTTGGCCTTCCAGACCCCAGAGCGTGAGAGAATAAATGTCTGTTGTTGAAGGCCAAGATCACCTCTTTGCAGGACCTATCTCTAAAGACAGGGACATTCTGAGGTACCAGGGGTTCAGGCTTCTACATGAGTTACCGGGGAGAACCAGCGCAGCCCTAACAGACAGGGTGGCTGGTATTGATTAGAAAGTCTGCAACGAGAGTGAAGTCCAACCACTGGCTCGTGGACCAGGCCAAAGGAAATCGTCAGTGACCCAGTTCTGGAAGGATTCGCCTGGGTGCATAAAGTAGCCAGATCACCCCGCTGGGAGTCAAAACAAGCCACATCTGCCTCCAGCTCACCACCGGCTGTCCCAGGAGGCCCACACATCTGGCGCGGGGCCAGCACACTGGACCAACTCGGAGAACGTTATGTTCCAGGACGCGTCAGGGGAGAGCGCAGGACAGGGCTGCCTCCCCCATCCCCAGAATGACACCGGCCACAACCATTTGGCATCTCTCGGCTGCCTTCCTAAACCTCCAAGCTCCCCTTTGGTTTTTTTCTCTAGATCTGGTTCCAGTCCCTGAAAAGTCATTAGCATAAATGGAGTTGCAAATTCAGATGACCTCAGAGTTGGGCAGGTAACATAAACAAAGGAATGAGACAGATGATGACAGGGCAGGGCGTGGTTGAGTGGGAAGTGTGAGTGGAAAGTGACGACCCTGCCAAAAGACATTTAAATTCAGCGTGCTTTAAAACACCGCGCTGCTGGGGCACCTGGGTGGTTCAGTTGGTTAAGCGACTGCCTTCGGCTCAGGTCATGATCCTGGAGTCCCGGGATCGAGTCCCGCATCGGGCTCCCTGCTCAGCAGGGAGTCTGCTTCTCCCTCTAACCCTCCCCCCCTCTCATTCTCTCTCTCAAAAATAAATAAAATTTAAAAAAATAAAAAATAAAACACCGCGCTGGCCAAAGCAAAACCAGCTTGCCAGCCAGTGGCAACTTCCAGGCATCGAATTTGTGCTTTCCATGGAGAACGTGGCTAAGAGATGGGCTTTGAAGACAGAGCTGGCTTGGAATCTTAGTTTCTTATCTGCAAAACACAGTGGTGTTTCAAAATCATAGAGCTGGGGTGTCTAGGTGGCTCATTCGGTTAAGGGTCGGCCTTTGGCTCAGGTCATGATCTCAGGGTCCTGGGATGGAGTCCCACGTCGGGCTCCCTGCTCAGTGGGGAGTCTGCTTCTCCCTCTCCCTCTGCCCCTCACTCCCCTGCTCGAGCTCTCTCTCCCTCTCTCAAATAAATAAAATCTAAAAAACGAATCATAGAGCTGGTGTGATGAATATATGAAATAACGCACATGAAGTGCTCAGTGCAGGGCCCAGCACATAGTAACTGCTTAATTTATGGGAGCTGTTATTATTGTGGTAAGTCAGAGGAGAGCGATGGTGATGAATTTTTTACAAAAGCGTCCTTCCTTTTCAGGAGCG